ATCGACATCAGAGCAGCTTGAACAAACAGTACGGCGGACACTTCCACTACTTCCGAAGTCGCCTATGAAGTACGGCGGATTAGGGGTCAGGGCACGCCCTGTGAGTACCAGTCCCTCAGCCAGGGTGCCCGCTCACAGAAATTGTCCGAGGTGTTTTTGTCAATCCGTGGTTTGCGTCCCAGATCCTTTTGGATGGTCGCAGGGCCCGACAACGGGCCCCAGACCATTTCTGATGGTCGCAGGGCCCGATGGCGGACCCGGGTGCCGAAATCGAGCACAACCGCTGGGGTTGTCCAAACCACATCCTCGGAGATTCGGGCTTCCTCTGGGATCTCGCGCAAGCACGTCGGTTCGGAGGCGAGTCGCGGCGGCAGCTGCATGCCTCGAGGGGAGTGCCGGGTGATGTACAGGCCTTTTCGGGCGCCAGATCTGGGCGGCTCCAGGCCTCCCGCAGAAGCGAAAAGGCAAGGTGAACTTCATTTCGCCTGCCTGGCACGCCCCCCATGCCTTTCAGAAGACCATCTTCGCGCAGGTGGAAGCTTTTCGAAGATTGGAAAGAACGCGTTCTGTGGGCGCTTGGAGGGGCGGGGCTGTCCGGAACCACTCCCCCCCCCTGGTTCAAGGTGGGGTTCGAACCCCCCGCCCCCGGGCCTGCGCCTGCGTCCGCGGCGGCCCACTTCCCCCTCCCAGGCCCCCTCCCCCTCCTGGGCCGGCGCCGGCGCTGGCGGCGGCTGACGGCGGCGGCGGGGAGCATCGACGAGGACGAGGATAAGGTGGAGGGAGGTTCGAACCTCCCCCCCCTTCCTCCAGGCCCGCGCCTGCGCCGGCGCCCGCTGGCAGCGGCGACGGCGCCTGCCAAAACGACGTCAACGACGACGACGACGACCACGGGGACGACGACGGCGACGACGAGCACGACGACGACGACGAAGGTGACGGTGACGACGACGACGACGACGGCGACGACGACGACGACGACAAGCACGACGACCGCGACGACGACGACGAAGCGACGACGACGACGATGGCGACGATGACGCCAGCGACGACGGCGACGATGGCGAAGACGACGACGACGGCGGCGGCGACGACGACGGCGATGACGACGACGACGACGACGACAGCGACAACGGCGACGACGACGACGACAGCGACGACAACGACGACGGCGACGACGACGACGACGGCGACGAATACGGCGAACACGACGACGGCGGCGGCGACGACGACGACGGCGTCGACGACGGCGGCGACGACGACGGTGACGGCGATGACGACGACGACGACGACGTCGACGACGGCGTTGCGCACCACGGCGCCCACGACGACGATGGCGACGACGACGACGACGGCGACGACGACGACTAACGACGACGGCAACGACGACGACGACAACGGCGACGACGACGACGGCCGTGACGATGAGCATGACGACGACGGCGACGATGGCGAGGACGACGACGACGACGACGGCGGCGACGACGACGGCGACGGTGACGACGACGACAACGACATCCGCCACGACGACGACGACGTCTGCGACGACGACGAGCACAACGACGACGGTGACAATGATGAGGACCTCGACGACGGCGACGAGCACGACGATGGCGAAGACGATGGCGACGACGGCAACGACGACGAGCACGGCGACGGCGACGGCGTCGACGACGACGACGCCGGCGGCTACGACGACGCCGACGACGACCAGCACGACGACGACGACGGCGACGACGACGATGAAGACGACGGCGACGAAATCGACGACGACGACATGGCGACGGCGACGATGAAGACGACGACGACGGCGACGACGACGACAACGACGACGTCGACGGTGGCGGCCACGACGATGACGACGACGACGACGACGGCGGCGACCGACGGCGCCGACGACGACGAGCACGAGGCCGGCGACTACGGCGGTGACGACGACGACGACGACGAGCACGACGACGACGGCGACGACGGCGACGATGGCGAAAACGACGACGACGACGGCGACGACGATGATGGCGATGACGATGACGTTGACGTCGATTATGACGACGGCGACGGCGACGAACACAACTACGACGACGACGACGACGACGACAGCAACGAAGGTGACGACGGCGACGACGACGATGACGGCGATCACGTCGAAGACACAGCATGACGTCGGCGACAACGACAAACACGACGGCGACGACGACAACCACGATGGCGACGACGACGGCGACGGCGACGACGACGACGACCACGACAACGGCGGCGGCGACGACGGCGACGGCGACGACGTCAATTACGTCGACGACGACGACGAGCACGACGACGACGAAAACGACGACAACAACGACGGCGACGGTGACGACGACGACGGTGGCGGTGGCTGCGACGACGACGACGACGGCGACCACGACGACGACGGCGACGTCGACGATTAGTTCGCCGAAGATGACGTCAAAGACGACGATGCGCACGACGACGGCGACGCCGACGATGACGACGTCGAGGACGACGACGACGACGGTGTTGACGACGACGACGACGGCCACGACGACGACCGTACGCGACGCAAAGCGAAGAACCCGCACATCATCTTGTCATCTTAATACACATAAAAGGCGAAGAACCCGCAGATCTTCTTTTCATGCCTATACACGTATATACGCATACGCACATGTGTATACGCATATACACACAGACGCACAAGACTTGACGGATCGCTTCGCTTAGCCTTACAGCTTGGTGTTGCGTCCAAGCAGTGCCGGGTGACTGCCGAAGCTCACATCGGTGCGGAAAGTTCGGGGCCACGAGCGGGTTGCGGGTCATTGGGTGGATGGAGCCCATCGGCATGTTCATGCCGTGAGGGAAAGGCAGGGATGCCACGAGGGCGAAGGTGAGGAGCTCGATGGCGGGGTATGCCAGTATCCCACTTGGGGCGACGATTTGAGGTCGATGAGCCAACGGGGTTGAGGTCATGGCCTAGCGGGGCCTGGACAGGGGCCGCGATGCCGATGGTCTGGGAAAGTAATCGGTGACATTTGCGCGAAAGGGGCGAAGGTCACGATCCGAGAGGACCCGCAGTCACAACGCACCTTGACGGAGGTTGATGTCATCGGTGTGGCACGGGTCTCGAACCACGATCGCAAAACGGGCTGTTGGGGATTCGGGGGGGGTCACGGTGATGACCGTGGAGGGTCGAGGGTCTGGACCGCGAGTGGGGCTTTTGTCGTGATTGCGAGGGTGTCGAGGTTCATACAGGATCTGCGGAAATTCTCACGCGCCCGACGGTTCGCGTTGATCCAATTGCTGGCCTCAAAATATTCGATTTCTGTTCCTCGTTTCCGCACCCCTCGCGCTTGCGTGGGGAGGGCAGCGCAGCGAGGCGTCCGGAAAAGGAGGAGGAGGTGGGTCTCTTGGGCTGTGTAGGTGGTCTCCAGGGGGAATTTGGGGGGGTTGTGGGCGGCCCGTGGAGCGGTTTGAAGGTCTCGTGCGCCATCTTGGGGCTCTCCTGTGCTGCGTTCGGGTCTTCGGGGGTTGTTTTGGGTCCGTCATGGGCCGTTTTGGTGTTCTCTTGGGCCGTCTCGTGCGGGGCCGTCTCTGAAGCTCATTGGGCCGTTCGCGTTGATGCCGTCTTCGGTCGTTTCGGGGCCGTGTCGGAAAGTTGTTGCGCCCTTTCGGGGCGATCTCGCAAGCTCGCGGGGATTTCGTAGTCAGAGAAACAACGAAGGCGCTGAAATTCCCCCCATAATGGGACATCATAGATTTTCGCATGTCGCGGCCCTCTTGGGCGTCTCTTGGGGCTCTGTTGGGAGGCTGTTGGGTCGCGCTTTGGCCGTGTCGGGGCCACTTGGAGGCCGTCCTCTTGTTTTTTTGTCGGCGTCGGGGCTCGTTGCGAGGCTACTGGGGCCGTCCGCAGCGTCTAAAGGGTGCGGCTGGCCAGCCGGGGAGGCCCGGAAAACCTGGGGGCTTGTCCGAAAGGCACCCCGGGCCAGAGGGAGGCTGTCCGAGAGGGAGGCTGTCCGAGAGGGGCCCCAGGATTTTCCGGGGGGGGGGTCATCCGGGAAGGTTTTTTCATGCAGGCAGAACGTGAGAATTGGGCCCGTCTATATTTTGACATTCGGGGCTTTGAACAGAGGAGCGCAAGAGACCTGGTCATCGTCGCCGTCGTCGGCGCTGCCAGCCGACGCCGCCGCTTCCGGCGCCGGGAAGGCAGGGGTTCGACCCCCCCCCTCCTGGGGTTCGGGGAGGGGTGCGGGCAGTGGGAGGGGGGGCGGACTCCCCCTGGTTCGTTCTGTTATACGGCGCCCAAAGGGAGGCCCCCCCGGTTCAAACGCGCCGCCGGCTGTTCCCAAGACGAGCGCCCGTGGAGCGCGTTCTCTCGAAGTTTGGTACATCACTCTTGGAAGGACTGTGGTCTGGGTGAGTTGCTTGCGTTGGCCGTTGGCGAACGATGCCACCAAACACCAGCAGGGTTTTTTTTGCCGCGTGGGCTGCAGCTGCCAAGTTCTATTGCCGAGTGTACCCCCCTGGTTCTGCCCATCGCGGGTCATTTTACTGACGGGGTTTGTTCCTTGTTCTTTTGTTCCCATCTGGGCAAGTGGCTCCGCCGCCCGCCGTGGATCGAGGGAAAAAGCACGGTGACCATGACTAAGATGTCGCGGGATCTTGTCGATGCTGATCTAGATCATGGTCCACGTCGGTCTTCGCCGATTCGGGAAGATCCACGGGTTGACGCCGACCACGATCGACGGCGAACAATATCGGCATGATGTTTCCGCGTTCAGTCTTCGTCATCGTCCCTGCGTTCTCGCACCCCTCAATCGGCGGCGAGCGAGGGGGGAAGTGAGAAGGGGATGGCCTTGTCACGCAAGCTCGGAAATCCGACGGCTTTCAAGCAATTTTCCGGAGCCATCCCCGAACAACAAGAAAAAACACTCAGAGGACCGGGGGCCGTCTGAAACATCATTTTTCACTCACTTGCCCCCCTTGCTCGCCGCCGACATTCTCTTCAGGCCGGCAGCCGCGAGAAGTGGACGGAGATCCGCGACAGGCGCGAGGCCGAGCGGCAGCGGCTCGAGGCGCAGCGCCTCGGCCGCATGTCGGCGCCCGAGGCCCTGGCGGGCGCGGCGGGAGGGCGGCCAGGCCAGAGGTCGGGGGCGGCCAAGAGGTGGGCGTGGATACCATGACTGGGGTCGGCCACGCGCAGAGGCTGCCAAGGGGAGGGGGGAAGGCTTTTTAGAAACACCCCTGTTTTTTAGAACGCGCGGGCAAGGTCTGCAGATGTAGGGCCGGCGCCCTCTGAGAAGTGGCCTTCTTCTAAGATGCCTTCCCCCTCCCCCTACCCCTCTGTGCGCGCCGTCGATATAGAGTTGCCAAGAAGTGGATGGATATCGCCCCAGATTCCATGGCGCCTCTGATTATTTCAATGCGTCCCTTGGTCCCCCCTTTGGGCCGCGCACGAGCCGCAGGCCATGATTTGCGCCCCCCCCTTGGACGCTCCCCTCGTGGACGCCCCCGATGGATGGAGGCCTGGGGCTCACTCCCAAGGTCAGCGCCAACGGGGGTCGGCCAATCGTCGAACGGGCCTCGAATCGAAATACGTAACACCGCAATTGCGGATAAGAGTGAGGGGCGGGCGCGAGCGACGCGGGCGTCGAGCCGGCGGACCTCGTGGCCCTCACCTTCCCTGTCGATGGGTGGGTCGCGGGTGGTCGCGGGGGGTCCGCGGGCTCTCCACCTCCACCTGGAAGGACTTCACAAACAGCCTGCCGCAGGCGCCGAAAATTTTGATTTGTACACCGAACGCGGTTTGGGTCGCGGGTGGGTTGCAGGTTTTCCTCCTGGAGCGAATGCAAAAAAAGCCCGCCGCAGGCGCCGAACATTTTGGGTGGGTCGCAGGGTGGGTCGCGGGTGGGTCGCGGGTGGGTCGCGGTGGGTCGTGGGTGGATCGTTCGCCGGTGGAGCCGTTCGGGGGGGTCCGGGGGTGGGGGTCGCGGGTGGGTCGCGGGTGGGTCGCGGGGTGGGTCGCGGGTGGGTGTGGGTCGCCGGTGGGTGGGGTGGGTCGCGGGGTGGGTCGCGGGCGGGTCGCGGGGTGGGTCGCGGGGGGGTCGTGGGTGGGTCGCGGGTGGGTCGAGGGGTGGGTCGCGGGTGGGTCGTTGGGTGGGTCGCGGGTGGGTCGCGGGTGGGTCGCGGGGTGGGTCGCGGGTGGGTCGCGGGGCGGGTCGCGGATGGGACGACGACAACAACAAACAACGACGACGACAACAACAACAACACCAACATGAACAACCACAACAACAACAACAACAACAACAACAACAACAACAGCAACAGCAACAGCAACATCAACAACAAGAACAATCATTTTAAGACTGCTTGCCCTTATCTGCTCGAATGTCCAATAACGCCTATTGCAGTGGCCTCTGGCCAGTGCCGCCGATCCGGGGCGCTCCTGATGCTATTGTTGTTGGAGTGGACGATGACGACGACAACGGACGACCAACGGTCGACGAGCGGGATAATTCCGACGACGACCGACGAATGAGTTAATGACGACGAACCGACGACGACGACGACGACGACGACGACGACGACTGACGGCGAACGGCTGCCGACGGCCGACGATTGACGGCGAACGGCTGCCGACGACCGACGACTGGTGACGGCGACGGGTGGAAGGTTCTTCGTTCATCGCTTTCGCTTCCGAACAATACCAAGTCAGGCCGTGCAGTAAATAAGCTCCTCTCCGCCTCATAATCAATTAAGACATAACTCAGTTTGCATGCATCGCTCTGTCCGCTGGAACTGACAGCTGCGTTCCGCAGCTGTATGACTGTTCGAGCAAGCCAACCTTGGCTTGCAGGAAAAGAAAAGGAACGCGCCGGGGTGCGCGGGCGGCTCGTCGTCGTCCGTCTCCGGCCGGCCCCCCCCCTTCACATTCCTGTTAGAGTAGTCTTGCTTAGCGGAGACTTGTCTTATCAATGTCTCATCCCGTCCCCTCTCTCCCTGAGCAGAGTGAACATGAGATCTTAACTCCTTTGTCAGATTACCCCGATTCTCAGAGGAAAGACTGGTTATCAGCCGGAACGCGCGACTCAGTCGACGCGGGGCCGTCACATACAAAAAGTAATTTTCAAATGTGCCCCGCGACTCAGTCGCTGCGGGAATGAGCTATGATAAGACTGACATCGTGTCCAATAATTCGAGAAGTGCCGATAGGCGCGTTGTACAACATGATGGACACGACAAAAACAAAGACGGTCCAGTTCAGGACCGAATCCCTCCTTCATACATCGCCACTCGGGTAGTAAGGGGAAAAAGTACCGAGAGAACGACAGAGATGTCGGTAGACGTCTCTCCCGCGGGAGCTCCAATCGGTGATCGTGAGCAAACCCCAGACCCGTACGGGCGAGATGGCGTAATATCAAGACCTAGACGAAGTGCGTTTTCGTCATGGAGTGCCAAATCGACGGAGTCAATCAGCTCAATTCCGAACGCTCCACATGCAAGTCCAAGGGAACATGAACACGTGCCCCAATATCCCGACCGAATGGGTGGGCACGAGTGCCAACGCCCCAATCCCAATTGCACTTAACGGACAATTCGGTCAGGACAGTGATGACCCAATTGAAAAAAAAAGATCGGGGAATATCGTCTATGGAGGAATAATTTGATATCGTAAATAATGATATTTCCCTGAGCCGAGCATTGTCCGTGATGATGGAAGAAGACATCCCTGCTCAAGACGAAAGATGGTCTCCAGATGGATCCGATGAAGACACTAGTATCCTGACGCCTCAGGCGGACAGGGCGGAGGCCAAGGCAAAGCATGCGAGGGAGGGAGTCCACAGGACGAACCCCTGCGCCTTACCTCAAGAAACAACGGAATGAGGACTACGAGCTAAACGTCTCGCCACTGAAGGAAGGTTTCTTCCGTAATGCCGCCGCCTCAGGCGCGTGGCAACCCTCGATTCCAGCTGTTGTTGAGGATGAAGAAATGGTCGGAGAACCAGCTACGTATGCCCAGCTAATAACACAAGACGAAAAAGATGAGGAGTCTCTAAATGCGCCTAAACCGCCAGAAAATACTTTTCTTCGCCCCAGATCAAATGCTTCAAGCGGGGGAAAACCCAAGATACCAAGATCAGGGGCGAGATCCACTTCAAGGAGCAACAGCACCGTCTCCATGATGGGGGCTTGTTGGAACCCCAACCCGAACTGCGCGCCTCAGGCGGAAAGCAGATGCCCCGGAAGAGGCAACCGGCCAGAAGGCGCATGTAGGAATCCAGTGCGCAAGAGTTGCTCGGACGTTTGCCATAAGTGTAACATGCAGTGGCAGTGCACAGAGTGGTACCCAACGGACGAGCATAATTGCACGTATCTCCTCATGCAATCTATTCAGTGCCAGGCCAGGCTGGCAGACGCTAACACTCAGAGAGAGTTTCTGACCAACGATGCGCAGCTGGCTGAAAGGGCCCGATTGGACAGAGAAGAATTATCTGAAAAGGGGGTCGAAGCTAGAAAACTTTCGAGGCTGAACGGATCGCCCTGGCCATGGCTGCTAGAGAGCGGGAACACGTGCTGACAGAACATCTATATAATCAGACCGAGGCCGTTAAAGGGCAAGTGGAGCTGGAAGCCGAAAATAAATGCAGGGAATTATTGACTTCGGAGAGACAGGCCGTCGCGATGGCAAACAAGGAATCTGCCGACGCCAATGCGGTTACCGCTGCTGTTGCGGTGGCCAGGATAGAAGGATAACGAATCGCGACAGTCATGGCGGAACGAGAAAAACAAAGCTTACAATAAGAGCTCAAAAAACGCCGGGCTGGAAGTGGCTAACACCCAAGCCGCAGCTGCGAAGATAACCGACCATAATAATCTTTTTCCGGAAGAGTTCAAATCGCATGAAGAAGCTAGATCTTCCTTCCAGCGCATAAAATCGAGCAATGCTAAATGCCCGCCGGCAAAGCCGATTGGAACGAGTGCACCAATTGTCGACGGCTCAGTCGTCCGGCATAGTACCCGTTCCAACACAATTTGATCAGGCGACCTTGAAAAAAGCGGGGGCGTCGACCCTGCTGGTGGGAGGTGCAGCGCGTCCTCCTCCCGAGGAGAAGGGGAACGCATTCTCCGTGGATCAATTCTGCGCAGTTTGTGTCCGTCTAAAGACGGACAATTGCGTCGGATGTGGTCGGTCGGCATGTGAAGAACATATCGATGCAAGCACTAGAAGATGCTCTCGATGCGACTTGTGGAAGAGTGAAAGATCAGCTGCCAACGTGCGAGAAGAATAGGCTATTTCGAACGCAGCTAACGCAGAGAATGGAAAGATGAGGCTTCACCAGCCCGGCTCCATATACTGAGAATAAACGAGAAGCCGGGCTCACATCGAACTCATTCGGCTTTCCGTTGCTTTCGCAAGAAACTCCAGTGAGGCCGCTGTTGCGTCAGCACTTTACTGTTCCAGGCCCTGCCCTAGAAGGTCCGGCGAAGCCGAGTGCCGCCGAGAGTGGACATCCTGTTGGGATCAAGCTAACTGGACCTATTGAATGTAATACTCTCGCCAGTTACCAGCCCTCCTATGGAGATGGCCCTACGGGAATGACGGCGACTCAGTCGTCGGGCGAAGCAGGGCAGGGCGGAGAAGGAGACGACAAGAGCGACGCTCCTAACACTGAGATCGTATCTTCACATGAAGATGATCGTGGCAAAGGACCACGCGGGTCGCCTCCGGGAAGCCCAGGGGGTTCAGATCCCTCTGATGGTGGAGGTGGACGCAGGGGGCCCCAGGGCCCCGGCGGACCGCACGACTCGGTAGTAATTGACGAAAGCGCGCCGTTGGATCAATGGAGACAGGTTGGTAACAACCAGAAAATTGATTTATTGGACATCCCTGATGCAACGAACATTCGCGAGTGGAACACGCACGCAGTTCGCGCAATCGCTGGATCATCGCCCGAGAGCCAGGCAGCACAGCGCTGGATTGCTGAGGCTATCGACCCAGCTGTGGAGGATGAGCAACTCAAAGATGCAGGGCGATTCCAGCGTCTCGACCTCATGATCGCAACGAATCTCATCGAGAAGAGAAATTCAACAAGATGCGAAATAA